ATATTTCAAATAGATTTAAGGTACCATTTGAGTTGTGGCATCATTTTGAGACCAGTCATTCAGATTTTAAAGAAAAATGAACTAAATATTTAATGTAGATATGATGGATTCTAAAAGCCAAAAATTGTTTATTATAGCTTTTCAAACAAGAAACGAAAAAGCCACTGAGCATTTTACTAGGTGGAGTGTATTGCATAGTCTGGGAAATGCACAGAAAAGCTGAGAGACTAAGATAACATTGTTGAAAGCCTGCTGGATGAAAAGTCAGTAAAAGAAATCATAGTGAGCTACTTTCCAATGATATGTTAATTCATCACAATAAGAATTTATGCAAAACCTGAAGACTGAGCTAATATCATATCTGTAGAATTGTACTTTTGCCTTAGAAATGAACAAATCTATAGGTGACTATGGAAAATAGCCACTTTTTTTTAATGGAGCACCATTTTTAAATAAAAATGTGACTGACATACAAATTATGATCAGTCAGATATTTGGCAAATATATTCTCAAAAAACAAAGTGCATCTTTCAGTTCAAGAAAAACAATTGACAAGAGCTGACCAAAGAACTTTTAAGCAAAAATTAGAATTTTGGAAACCATATTAGAAAATGTTCCTTGATATGATTTCAGTTTCACATTGCAACTAACCTTTAAGAAACTAATACTTGTTGAGTTTTGATGTTGTAGTAAATAAGAGTAGTTAAAATTACCTAAAAAGGTTATTAATACACTTTTTTCCAATTAAATACCTATGTGTGGTGAAATTTTCTTCATAGTATCAACCGAAGCAACATATCACAACATATTGAACAACGCAGCAGGTATAAGAATCCAGCCCACTTTTATTAATTAATATATTAAATATATTTGCAAATATATAAGGCAGTTTCATTCCTATTGCTATGTATTTTTAAATGTAGGCATTTCAATAAAAATGTTATCTATATTAACATGAAATGTATCCATTATTTTTACCTTAATGAATTACTTAAATACTTACAATGTTTCTCAGTTTTAATTTTGAATGTGGTAAATACAGATAGATGGATCCTACATACATTTTTGGGGTCCTCAAAATGTCAGTAATTTCTTAAGAACATAAAGAATCCTGTGAACAAAATGTTCAATAACTGCTGATCTGTGGGAGGAGCATCTGAGTCAGAGAGAATAGCAGGTAAAGACCCTGAGGTGGGAAGAGACTCCGCTTATCTGAGGGTCAGGGTGAAAGGCAGAGTGGCCACAGTGTAAGGGAGAAGGAGGGAAGAAAATGGCACCAGGAGTTCAGCCCTGGTCATATCCATTAAGGTCCTATAAGCCTAGAGTTAAGCAATAAAGAAGGGATAATGGCACTACCAGATAGTACTTAGGAAATAAAACATTAACAGCGAGCTCACAGAAATTCTCAGCTTGATCATATTCAAACTTCGGGAAGGAATGGTGAAACTATATTCTCACAGACCACTGGTGGGAGTGACATTAGAACAAAATTTTGAAGGCAATTAGACAATAACTACAGAATCTTAAAACATGTGTACTCTTTTCTTTAGAAATCTCACTTATTTTTGGAATTTTCCTTAAGCTCTGTTGCATAGAATTTGCTCAATACTGTATTTTTTGTCATGAGAAAAGAGGGATCATATCTCCCAAAAGCAAATTTATGAGTGTTCCCTTACCTAAGTGAAGAAGTTATCTTAGTGCTGAGCTATTTGAGTTATCTTATAGGCTGTCATAAAAAGGGAAATGAAATGCTATTGTGTATACAGGACTTGTCAGAAATATCCCAAGAAAATCTAAACAGCAATTACTTCTAGAAAGTGAGATTGGAGAGTCAGTTTAATAAGGGATAATTTCACATTTAACCTTATATCCTGCTATGCTGGTTAGTGTTTTAGCAAATTATAACATTCACGTATATTTTTATAATGAAAACTTATTAATAAAAATATATAATAGACCATATCATTGATAACCTTAAAATATACTTGTCATGTAAGATACCAAAAAAATGGAGGCAATTGTAGAATGAGTTTAAAAATATATACTCATATGAGCATAAGGACTATGGAGATGAAAATAGTTGCATGGCTCATAGGAAATGCTAAAGTTAAGAATGAGAATGCGATTAATGTGAGGGAAGAAAAAGAAATTCAAATCCTTCCTTTATTGTCTTATTTGAAAGTGTAAATCACTTGCTCAAGAGGTGTTTTCATTTAAAATGTGTCCATTGAGATAAGCAGAGTGGACAGAGCAGGTACAACCAATGTAAAGAATAAAATTCCATTGTATGCAACAGGGCTTTGCAAATTGTAAGAGATATCAAGTGTTCAATAATAAAAAATTAACAACTACATTATGGAACACTGATATAACAGAATTGCATGTAGCAAATAAAAATGACATTAGAAAATAATATTTAATGATATGGAAAAGTATCCACACCTTACTGTTCTATGAAAATACATATAAAACTACAAGCATAATGTGATAATATTTATGTGAAAACCAAAGTGTCCATGTGTTTGTGTTTGTACACACACACTAAGAAAAAACATTGAAAGATGGTTATTTTCTTCTTTTTTCCTAAAAGTATTCTCCAAAGGGGTTAACATTTTTATTTTTATTTTTTTTCTCCTGTAATTCCAGTGCTGGATTCAGAATAGGGTATGTAAAATAATCACAACTTTCCTCATTATCCTTGCTGGTCTCAGGTAACAGAGGGAATCAAGCAGGCAAGCTGAAGGGAGGCAACACAATCATTTATACCTGTGCTCTGATGAAACATATTCTGCCTCCAACACCCATTACCATCAATGATGTGAATCTCCATTTTCCAGGGTGGAAAGTTCACACCTTATCCAAAAGTTCTGAAGTGTAGGCGTGGCTATATGTGTGTAATATACAGGCAATAAACTATCACTCAGTTAACACTTGCCTTTTCAAAAATTATTGCCTACTTAATATTCTGCTTTTTCTCAATTAATAATAATCTCATTTATAAAATATTTTAAAGTGATTGAATTAACTACCTTGTCTCAGCTCCATCCTGTCCATCCTCTTCCCAATTATTGGAGATGTTCATGGTTTTATTTTTACATCTATTTGTTAGGTGACTTTTAGAAAATTAATTAGGCTTTCTCCATCTCCATTTCCACTGCTGAAAATATGGGAATAACACATATTTTAAGGATTTTAAAGCATGAAATTTAAAGTAAGAAATGTGAAAATTTTGAGAATAAAGCATAGTATGTATTAGATACAACAAAAGCATTAATTTCATTTCTTTCTAATATACCCTGGAAATATATTTTGAAATGTGCAAGTTATTCAATTATTGGTCTATAGAACTGATTTTATTAGAAAATATATGCTGATAATATTAGCTTCAAAATGAGCTATATCCAATTTAATGCATTTAAAATCTGATATAGATATTGCCACACATTTATTGCTTTATAAAGAAAAATCTTAAGGAAAAGGTAGGTGGAACAAACATGATCTCAGATTATAGAAATTGATGCACTCAAAATTAATACTTATAGTAGTTTTGACAATTCCCATATAAGAAGACCATGTAATTATATTTGATTGGTTTGTCTTTTTTTTCTTGATTGCTTTTAAGTTTATTTCCTTTATTAAAAAACTGATGCCTATCAATTTTCTTAAAATAATAATGGCAAAAGTTTTATGCTTATGCATCGTCTTCCAATTCCATGAGTTAGTTTCAAGAACATTACCTTTTCTTTTTTAACAGTTCTATTACAAAAATAAAGCATTTATTCTAACAGTCTTTTTTTCAAGCAATTGCAGTATTAGTATTAACTTTCCACAGGTCTCATTGCTAAAGAGTGGTATTGTTAAGTTATTTTAAAAAGGGAAAAATTTACAATGTGACAACTTTTACTAAAATGTCTGATTGTAAGAGTACTTATAAACCTGAGGAAATGAACATTCTGGAGGAAAAAAAAATCTCATAAATACAACTGATAAAAATCACAAAATAAAATAAACAAGGACTCTAGCAGATCTCTCATTTGCTGAAAGCATGCGTCAGAAACTGACAATGAAAGATATATTAAACCAGGCCATTGGGAGATCACAACTTTGAATAACTTTTAAATTTGAAAAAAAAATCACTAGCATGCAATGAGAAAATGAAATATTATTGCCTTGTGATATTTTTTAGTGTACATTTGTTTTTTTTCTCTGTTCTTTTATGTTTTTTGGCATTAAGCTATAGAATGCTATCCCCAAGTAAGGTTTTGGGTGAATTCCTAAATGAAATCCACAAAATAAGAAACAGGCAAGACATTGTTGATTAGTTCCAGACTTGAATAACATAAAAAGAGTCCCCTCAGCATAAGAAGTAAACTCAAAATGTTGATATTTCTCATTTGTAATCAGGTGTATATGAAGCATTTTTTTTTTTATATTTCAGAAACTAATGTAAGTTACTCTCATGGCCATAAATTAAATTGGTCCAAGTAAATCAATATAGCTTCCAAGAGTGAGGAACAAAAAGGATTGAATTCCTCCGAGTCTGCTCATTTGCATTTTCCTCAAATTATTTGCTCTGTATATGATTTATAAGACTTTTAGAGGAACATGACAGTTGGCTGAGAAAATTGCACTTAATTGTTGCCACAGCCACAGAAGTAAAGAGGTTTGTAAGAGAAATGTTCTCACGGTGAGCAGCCTCATTTGGAGCTGGAGTTAAATCAATCCTTGGTTAAAAGCTATGGTATTTGAGCTAGTTAAACATGTATCTTTCTCCCATTCCATAGGGAATGAACTGGGCTGTCCTTGCTCCCCACGTCCACCTGCACTTCGTTAGAGAGCAGAGTGTTCACATGCCGCACCACAAGATCCCCACAATGACATAACTCCATTCAGAGACTGGCGTGACTGGGCTGGGTCCCCCCCGACTCCCTTCAGCTCTTGTATCACTAAGAATCTGGCAGCCAGTTCCGTCCTGACTGAGTTTACAGCATATATTGGTGGATTTTTGTCCACAGTGCATCTGCTTTAAGAATTAACGAAAGCAGTGTCAAGACAGAAAGGTAAGTGCTGTTTTAACTATAGCACTGGGGATGCTGACTCTTTGGGATAGCATTTGTTGTAACAGGAACAGCAACGATTCCAGAGCAACTTTGCCAATTGCTATTCAACAGCAAATCCAGTTTTGAGTATTTATTTTCACATTTTGTTTAACGTGCTTTCCATGATTTATGGATTTGAGAGAAATTTTATGCAATATATGTTGTTTTGCTTGGCAAGGGAAGTTACAAAAGTTTCAAGGTTAGAATGAGAAAATAGTTAAAGCAGACACAGTGAAAAGGTATAGAAATTAAGATGTTTGTTATTTATGCTAATTAGTTATAGACATTAGTATTGCTGGAATCTAATATTGGAGCAAAGAAAGATCATTTCAATAGGCATTCAAAACATTTTGCAATAAATATAGTGTGAGAATTTGTTATAATTTACAATAAACATTCTGTGTTGTTATAAAAAGTGAACTAAAGGACTTAGACACATTTATAGATCACTTGTTTTTTATTTTGTTAATTTTAAAGATTTGTTTTCAGATGTATGTCTTAAGGAACATGTTTTAAAGAAATTCTGGAAAATGATTTACATTTTGAAAACAGCATTTTTTCTATAACCACAGGTATTTGAATAAACGAGGGGAAGAACAGTGTACTTTTGCCTCATAGTGGACTCATTATATGGTTATAAACTTTCATTGAATTTAGAGCCCTCGTTTTACTCTGCCAAAAATATGGAAGCTTTTTTTCATTACTATTCAATACTCACATTATAGTTACCAGGAGTATTTTGGTGTATACTCAATTTCAAATAGCTTATTAATGAAGCAAGACAAATCTTTACAGTATTAACATCCTGTGTCTTATAAATAATCCTAGGAATATGTCATCATGTTCTTTTTAGTGCTATGCAATTATTATCATGGCCAAGTTCTGTCAAGTAAACGAAATGCCTCCATCACAATCTTAGGGAATAATTTACTAAGAATCTGGCCACCTATTACATTATGTCAGCAATCAAAGTATTTCTAACAACTTTTTTTAGTGTTTTATCTAATAAAATAAACTGCCTTAGAATTCCAAGTTAAAGCAAAGATGTTTTCAATTTTTAATCCCAAACATCCTACTTATTCCAGACTACTATGATCCAAAAGCTTGTATCATACTTTCATAGGAGGATACAATATTCTATGTTATCTAATAGAATGTGAATCCTTCTTCACATTTCTCTTCCAGGGCTACCAACTTCACTTGAGCCATAAACTCTTCATTCTGTAAAAGTCCATCTCTTATATTTTAATTTTCCTTTACCTAACTGTGAACTTCCCCCAAGAAAATAAAATGGGCTTTATTGAGCTTCATCTTAGAAACATGTTAATATGAGAAGATAACTATTACAAATTATTTTTAATTTATATTCTCAATTGAATCTTTTCCTAGATGGTTCCTCTATCTAGTGTTAAATATAAAAGTTTTTTAATTCCTACCTCTCTCACACCTGCATTCTGAGAGGCCATTGAAATCTAGATAAACAAACCATTCCACCTTAAATTTTGACATGAAGAAGGTAGAGAACTCGTGAGTTATTGAGAGAGACTATTACTTTAATTCAAAACTTGGAAAAGAATACCTTACTCTACCTGTTGGATCTCTTTCTAGATTTAAAAATTCTTAGAATGTGTGTGACATTTCCAGGATTAATAAACATTAGTTTTACTAAAACTAGTTTACTAAATATTAGTTTCAGAACATAATTTTGCAGTGTTCTTAAAAGTATGGAATGTTAAACAAATCTTGAAATAATATGCATGCTCACCAGCACCAAGAATTTTGTTTCCCTTCCTCAGAACCAACAATAACCAGATACTTTTAAAGGAATGCATCCCCTCTACCTCCCCCACACATAATGAAGACTGCTTTCCTCCAGGCAAAACCACAGATTGCCCATGTTCTTAGGAAGGATCTTAATGAGATATTTTAATGATGTTGAATGGTAGGGTAGAGTGTACAGCTTACAACTGTCTTCTCATTTTCATTTCTTCTGGTTTCCAGGGATGTTCTAAAGCAGTGGTCTAATATGGTAGTCAGTGAGCACCACCCAGAAACCTTTTGTAGGAAAACATTTAATTAAGGAAAGACCTAAAGAAATTGACTGAAACAATTAGGCCTGGCTCTCCCAGAAGGGGGCGCATGTGTATGCAGTCTAACCTGAAACCTGTTCACCCCAAAGTTGTAAACATACACCTTCATCCTCGATATGTAAATGAAAATTAAAAGACATCTTTAGATGCACTACAAAAGTTGATAAAATAACAAAATGCACATTTTCTAATGCATCGTGTTGCAAATTGAATTTCCTTTTTTTTTTGAAAGTCTACTATTTTATAACAAAAAATGTTTCCTCTTTATTTAGGATTCAAATCATTTGCCAAAAATGAATCTAAGTGCATTTGCTCTCTTCTTGGCTTTAATTTGGGGTGCCAGTGGCCAATACTATGATTATGATTTCCCCATGTCAATTTATGGGCTCTCGTCACCAAACTGCGCACCCGAATGTAACTGCCCTGAAAGCTATCCATCTGCCATGTACTGCGATGGGCTGAAATTGAAGAGTGTGCCGATGGTGCCTCCTGGAATCAAATACCTTTACCTTAGGAATAACCAGATTGACCATATTGATGAAAAGGCCTTTGAGAACGTAACTGATCTACAGTGGCTCATTCTAGATCACAACCTTCTAGAAAACTCCAAGATAAAAGGGAGAGTTTTCTCTAAATTGAAACAACTGAAGAAGCTGCATATAAATCACAACAACCTGACAGAGTCTGTGGGCCCGCTTCCCAAATCTCTGGAGGATCTGCAGCTTACTCATAACAAGATCACAAAGCTGGGCTCCTTTGAAGGACTGGTAAACCTGACCTTCGTCCATCTTCAACACAATCAGCTGAAAGAGGATGCTATTTCGGCCGCTTTAAGAGGTCTTAAATCACTGGAGTACCTGGACTTGAGCTTCAATCAGATGACCAAACTGCCTTCTGGCCTCCCAGTATCTCTTCTAACCCTCTACTTAGACAACAATAAGATCAGCAACATCCCTGATGAGTATTTCAAGCGCTTTAGTGGGCTGCAGTATCTGCGTTTATCTCACAATGAACTGGCTGATAGTGGAATACCTGGAAATTCCTTTAATGTATCATCCCTGGTTGAGCTGGATCTCTCCTATAATAAACTTAAAAGCATACCAACTGTCAGTGAAAATCTTGAAAACTATTACCTGGAGGTCAATGAACTTGAAAGTAAGTAGAAAATTGTGCCTGTGTTTGATTTATGTACCCTCAAGTTTTAAATGGCTAAGTTGCTTCTGGCTCCATTAAAAAAATAAATAAAAATGCCAACAAAGTAACCTACTACTTCAAACATAAAAGAATTCTAACGCAACTATATCTCCAATATCTAGCCTTTCTTTGGAGTGTCCAGATAAGGAACAATTAAGATCATAGAACTTAATATCTAATTCCTTCAAATTGAATATTCTGTGCTAATTTATTCTGTTGTCTTATCTCCTGATATTTATCTTTTATTAGTTGCCTCCTTTAAAACTTAGATTTGTGTCCTACATTTTTTTTTTACAAGATCTAGCTAAGAAAGGAATAAACAAGTTCAGAAAGGGCACAGTTGGCAGAGACATTCAAGTCGTCTTCCATAACCCCAGAGAAGCCCATATATCCTCACGTTCTTCCTTGATAACTATTACTTGGAACTCAACATGTTACTCTGCTCTCATGATCATCGCCTACCTCTGTGATCTCTGTTTTGGTGTGTGTGGCCTCCGTAGTGTTCTGATGAGGACTGTGAGAAAGATTAAGGAGGGAAGGAATATGATGGGGTTTGGAACATTTTTTTGAAAAAATACAGTATTACAGAGCCCCTTTTCTTATATATAGCCCTTGTCCTCATTTGATGTTCCAGTTTCCTCCTTCCTTCTCCTGCTGCCATAGTTTATTTTTCATTTATCTTCTGGATGAAGGTTAACCTCATTTACTTAGATATTTATGCACTTATCTGGTCTTCTGGGACAATTTTCAACTCAATCAATACAGATTCAGGTGGGAAATTGAAATTCATAATTTCCCACCTTCTAACACAGTTTGGCAGAAGAGAAAAGCCAATTCATGGACAAGTGTTTTAAATGAAAAATCAGGTAGGAAACATTGATTCACATATAAAGAAATTATATATGCAAAATAATCTATTAAAATTAAACATTTTCATCTGCTGCAAATTTCTTTTCTTACCATACTGAATAAAGATATTGCTATCAGAAAAAATTACAGCATACCTTACAAATATGACACTTTACTATTCTTCAATGGTTGCACGTAACTGCTAGTAGAGTTGGGGTGTTCTCATGAAGGAGAGGATGATTGCCAACTCTGAGGCACCACGTGTTCTTCATTGTATCTGGAAAGCAGTCAAGGTAGGAGTTGGTGTTGTTTGACTGTCACGCAATACACAGTCAAGCTAACACAGTGAAGCTCCTACAGTTGTTTCCAGTGGAAAATTCACTATGCGGCAATATGTGATCCCACATTTTAAACATGTGTGGTTAGGAGGTAGGATACTCCGACAGACCAAAATGCTAAAGGAATTTGAGATGATTCAGGGCTGACAAAATCCGTTAGATTTTGTGGGTAGAGGTTAGCCACAGGAGTAGAGCTACTTCTTTCTCTGAAATAAGAAAGAAGGAGGATACAGATGCAGGCACATGTTGAAGTATACATGATATGAGTAAAGAATGGAAGAGCCAGTGTGGAAGATGGGAAAGGTGGCCTCTAGGAGAAAGGCCAATAGGAACTTAGTGCTAAGCTGAGATAGAAATCTCAGTGCCCACCACACAGTGGTCATTTGAATAGTAGTTACTTTTCTTCCTTCTTTCTCCTTGACATTGTCAGGTACTCTTGTTTGTCTTTGCATGTATCTCCTCAACTTAGGTCATCTTGCCGAACAATTATCATCCATACCAACTGTCCACATTCTCTTATTATAAAAAGAGTCCTTTTAATATTTTCTAATGTTAGGGAATATATAGCCAAAAAATTGTTTTCATATTTCATATTTCAAATTTGAAATGCTAAGCATTAACCTAATCACAGATCTTCCTAATGTAGGAAAAGAGAACAAAATGTAAAGGACATCAGTAATTATTTAGGACATACTATGTACTAGTACTGTCTGAAATGCTTTGCATTCCTTAATTAATTTAATCTTCATGCAGCACAGTGAGATAGCTATGTTATCTCTAACAGGAAAATCAGATAAGTGTTCCAAGGTCACC